ATTTATGATAAGACAAGATTTAATATCATAATATAGGATTGATACCCACTTTAAAATACTATCACCAAATCCATAAAATTTAAGTGTCTTATTTATAAAGGACCATGATACAGAATCAAATGCCTTCTCAAAATCTACTAGTAATAGCATTCCCGGACCATTTTTAGATTCTGTGTAAAGTAATTAGTCATATATCATACGTATGTTATCTCCAATATATCTGCCAGCCATAAAGCCCATCTGTGGCCGTATGCACATGTCGGGCGTAGCTAATGTCAGGCGTAACACACTACGTCAGGCTTAGCAGCACCCTCCTCTTACACGTCATGCACAACGTCGGTTAAGCCTAGGCGTTACTATGCCCGACTTAATGGATTTTCGTCGAGGCGCAGTGTGCTATTTTTAGATTTTCGAACGTTTCTAAACCACCGGTAAAAGGCGAGAAACAACTTCACGGTACATCAGTTTCAGCCGTAATCATGAAAAGCCAAAGAAAACCGGGAAAACCCAACTTTACCGATGGATCCTGATGGAGAAATAACATGGACTTTCAAAATAGGCTTCACCATACATGTTTATTCTTTGAAAGTTTTTGATTGTTTAAATAATATTTACATAAGAAATTGACACATTTAGTGTAGTACACCATATTTTAAACCTTTACACAAGTATTAGAAGATCACACGTAGCCATAACTGCAAAATATTTAGGTGTTGTGAAATATTATTTTTCATTTACGTTAAATTGATGCCAAACAGGTGCGCGTGCTGCTCACAATAAGATACGCAGTCAAATCGTCTAATTGTTGATATATTCGGGACACTATTTAAATGGTAAAATCATTCATTTTATGTTTTGTCTAAAGAGTGTGAAATTCTGACATAGAAGCCGAGACCTTTTATACAATTAATGGAAATTAGGTAAGATATATACTAATCAGCAAACCAATGTCGTCTTTTTCCGACATTGCGAAATGCATAAAATAAGCCATGACGTCAACTAAAATGTTGTATTATCAGTAATTTCATTACATTTGAAGATATGGCTAGTACTCTGTTAATAATAAGTAGTACATTGCCATCTTTTCTTATAAATTGTGAAACTACCAAAACGTATCCGCTCTCATTGTTGAACTTTGAATTGGAATAGTTTGGTTCACCGTGAACACTACATAACGAAAATATAGCGTCCATATCCACAACAACTTTTCTCCAAGTGATCTGAGTTACATTGACCTAGTGTTAAGCATAGCGAAGTTATGCCCCGTTATCTTTATACGTGTATGACCTCTCTGTCGTCGGTTGATGTCTTAGAAGTAAATCCATTTTTGGCACTTATCGCGAGTCATATATAATGTTGAGCGTGTAACGTTAAGCATTACCACATAAACCCATTTCATATACACTTATGTCGTTCAGATATCAGGCTGTAATTTCTTCGTTCACACTTTCTGTAAAGATGCCAAATTAAAAAGTTCGTAGCAGAGTGCTTTTATCGGTGCACGACAAAAAGCGGAGAAATTGACAGTTTTTCAACGCGTAACAAAATTTTGGACAACATTTAGCAGTGTCTATTTCTAAAACCTTTTGAAAATGTGCAGCTGGAAAAAAAACCTCGGCACCCAGTGCCGCCATTACAGGGCTACGCCTGGCTTACGCCTGCTGGGTAGGTGGCGTAAATATAGAGCGCTACGACTGGCGTAACTTTAACTACATCTAATATGTGCATACCGGTTTACGTTACGTCCTGGCGCACATTTTACTTATGCCCAGACTAGAATTTACGCCCGACATATGCATACGGCCACTGGTCTTCATCTATAAAATTAGAGAGAACTCTCTTTAGTCTGTCAGCAATAACTGATGATAATAGCTTATAAGAGGAATTAAAAAGTGAAATTGGGCGCCAGATTTCTTTGCTTATCTCCCTTTAGAATACAAGTTATAATTTCCTTGTCTTTGTGTCCAGATAATTCACCAATATTGTAGCTACAATTCAGAGATCTTAACAGGAAATCTCCCAAGTCAAGCCAAAACATCTTAAAAAATTCATATGAAAAGCCATCAGAACCTGAACTTTTGTTATTTTTTTACTTTTTAAGTGCTGTAAGGAGTTCTTGTTTAGTTATTGGGCCTTCAATCTGATCTGATTCAGTCTTATCAATCTTCTTTACATCTTCAGATAAGAGTGATTCGAGTTCAATATCTGTAACTAAATGTTCTTGAGATGCATTGTTGACATCGTGCTTCTCACTCATGAACGACAGAGGCATCCAAGTTGGGGTTAAAAGTTTAATATACCTTCTTCGCACATCGGCGGTTACATTTGAACTGAGCATGGGAAACACATGTACAGGTACTTCCGGAAGATACAAGGGAGTTAATTGTTTTTGTATTTTACATACCGCTAAAAACAAATGAGTAAAGTGACTGATGCGTATGTACAATATTCACAAAGCAATATAACTACAGTTTACTCCAACATGCATAGAGGTTTTGGTAATAACTTGTTGCTTCTTCTATAATATCATCCTTATTGATTAATGTTTTCCCATATTTCGATTCTATTTCTTTCATATTTTTACTTATATAGTTTTTGTTCTCTAGATTACAGAAGTATTTACTTATAGTTTTTACCTTCATCAATCCATTTAGCCTTGGATCTAATCAAAATCCCATCAAGCTTTGGTTTACGTATTTGCTGCAAGTCTTGTTTTTTAGTCTCCAATTCATGAAGTATAGATTCATTAAAATTCTTTTCCAATATTTCTATCTCTGAAATTAACTGGCATTCTTTTTTATCTCTTTCCTTTTTCTTGAAAGAAGCATACGATATTGTTTTGCCCCTTATTTTCATAAGCAGAGTTTCCAGGAATAAATGATCATTAATTTGAAATTATACATAGTTTAAAACATCATTATTCTGTGAAAATTATATATTGGTATAGCATATTCTTTTTTACTTCATCAACATAGGTTTTGTCCTGCAGTAGCGAGTTGTTGAATTTCCAATATGTCATTTTCTTGGTTGATTTCTCTATATTTATTTTAAAGCTAATAAGAGAGTGGTCTGTTCTATATCCTGAGTTTATATTAACTTGATACATTCCTACAGAGATTTTCAGATTAGAGAAAAAAAAGTCAAGTCTAGCTTGTTTTACTGGTTTAGTACGTCGCCAGGTATAGTGTCTAGATTCAGGGTTATTCTCACGCCATATGTCAATTAAGTTTAATTCTGCAATAACTTCCAGTAAATAATCCCTTGCCTTAGGATTGTTAACATTCTTGTATAGTTACTAGTGTCTTTATCTGGATCAAGGACAAAATTAAAATCTCCTCCCAAAACACAGGAGTCATTTCCAAATTCTTTAAACTTTGTCAATATCATTTTATAAAATTCTGGAGAGTCTAAGTTTGGACCATAAATGTTACCTATTGACATTCTACACCCATTCAAAGTAATATCTATCAGTAGGAAGTTACCAGAATCATGTTTGTAAATCTGATGTATATTGTGCTCAGTATTACAATCAAGCAGAAATGCTACGCCTCTTGACTGACTTGAATGACAATGAGGACAATATCATTTGAGGACCCCACATAGATCTTATATATTTCTCTTCCTGGAATGTAAAGTGAGTATCTTGTAGAAGGTAGGAGGAGAAATGCTTCGAATGTAAATAATTTAAAACATCTTTTCTCTTACTGAGGTCCCCCAACCCCCTACAGTTCAGTGACCCACAAGAAAATTCACCTGCCATAGTATAACAGTACTATTTGTAATAAAACATGAATATGGCTAATAAATTCCATCCACTCACCATACACACACACACACACACAGAGAACACATAAAAGAAAGAAATGCTAATCTTTGCTTACTAACTACTAAATTGGTTGAAATAATATGTATATTGTGATAAAAAAAAGTATAGACGCACATGTGCATCACTCCCTAAATAAGAGGTGCTTTCTGTTGAAGCACATATGCAGCTCTCGCTGTGAGAAACTGCTAATTACCTGAGGCATATATCCATCACTCGCTGTGAGAAACTGCTAATTACCTGATGCATATATCCATCACTCGCTGTGAGAAACTGCTAATTACCTGATGCATATATCCATCACTCGCTGTGAGAAACTGCTAATTACCTGATGCATATATCCATCACTCGCTGTGAGAAACTGCTAATTACCTGATGCATGTATCCATCACTCGCTGTGAGAAACTGCTAATTACCTGATGCATATATCCATCACTCGCTGTGAGAAACTGCTAATTACCTGATGCATATATCCATCACTCGCTGTGACAAACTGCTGTGACTCTGGTTACAGGCCGGGAGAGCCACAAATTCAGAAACAGATAGCCTAAATTGATGTGGCTCTCCTGGCAATAGTTACGGTTGCATGAACATGGAATGTGGCTCTCCCGGCTATGCTGTCAAAACATGCTTAGTGATTCAAACGCATTATCGTATTTAACAAAACAAGACATGTTTCCTCATAATTTTATTCAGATCTCAACAGGTTGTGTTTCTATAATTAGCACAATATGATATACTAAAAGATATATTACATATAATAATAATATCACATAATTGAAAGTGCTCATCTTAAATTCCTTAAATTAGCTACGGTCTTAGATATAACACCCCAAGCTTTATGGTTTATGGAGAACATGGATGACAACCTATTCAGCTCCAAATCTCTAAATGATTAATTACTTATTGGTGCAAATTGAAATTTTCCCATCCAGCAACAAAATAGTAGCTTTCATTCTAGATTATATTATGGATGATGCTCCCTGGCTAAATCATGTGAAACCTATATTTTGTAAATGCGGCTTACCGGATGTATTTGTAAACCCCTTTCATTATACCCAATCCTGGATCATATCAAAATCTGAATCAATCCTGAAAGACCAGTTTTTACAATCGTGGACCAGTGAAATGAATAATTCATCTAAAGGACAATATTAAAAGATTTTTAAAAACTCACCTTCACTCGACAACTTACTGCTATCTGAAAATATTTGGAAACCTATTCTATATTTTAAAACATCTAACCATAAATTGCTAGTAGAAAGTGGGAGATGGACGAATCTCGCAAGAGAAAAAAGAGTATGTAACCTTTGTAACCGCAGTTAACTGGGGATGAATTCCATTATATCTTTAGATGTTCATATTTTAGCCATCAATGCATCACTCACCTAGAAAATAGCTCTTGTTCCTTCCCTAATGATGAACAATCAAGTATATTGTCTGTAATTATTAGTAAACTTACCTCTGGGTTGTGTTAGCCTTTTCCTCCGTCACTTGGTGATGTGTTACAGACTCCCTTAGATAAAAAATTTAATAACAAAGGGAAGTAATCCTTACCTAGATTATACCTGGTCCCGCTCGATTACCTCCCTTGACTCGCTCTTCTGCTCGTAATAACCAATACGTGTCATATTTTCCCTCTTAGTGTAGGACCTGTGAACATACAGTGGGGAGGTAAGGAAATGACATTTCGGGTGGGTGTAACGTGTCCAACCCAGAGGTAAGTTTACTAATAATTACAGACAATATACTTGATTGTTCGTAATTATAGGCGTAAACATTCCCTTTGGGTTGTGTTAGCCAGAATCCCACATACGGAAGGTGGGTTGTTCCAGCGTACACATTTCAGAGAGAATATTTACCTCTATTAATGTAGTCACAATTCTGTATAATTGACCATGATACTTAAAGGTCACATGCAACCAAAAAATCAAACATAATTAAAACACAATTATCACTTATTCATTACATATAATATACATTGCTGGTTATGAAAAAACATATAAACAAAATTATAAGCGTACAATCGCAAATCAAAAGTGCAATATTGTGTACTTGGGTTTACTTCCCAAGAAACGAAGCAGCCGGGATACCGAACCCAGTCAGAGCGGGTGGGTGTGCACTCAAGTGTAACGACTGGTTCATTTGCAGATGCCCTCACGGGTCATTGTGTGTGCATATATAGAGATGTTGGGTTTTGTAAATACATGCTCATTTTTTGTGTATAACATTTTGCAATCAACAGACATCATAACATGTCATGTGTTCAAGTATCACACCTGCCTGTCTGTGTAATTACATAATGTGACAGAGACCGAACTCGGGCCATAAATCAATGCATTTTGTTTATGGTGTATAGCCTGATTGGTGTTAAGTTCAAATTGCATGTGGTCAGTGATAGCAGCTGTGTATTGAATATTGTCATTAGCAGACAGGCAGGCAGACACACAGGTGTCAATAAAACAAGACATTGAGTTTAGTCTGTGACAATGACATATCTATATCACAGTTGGAAATTCTGTCAACGCTAAATAATGGCATTGCTTTTAAGTATCGAACTGAGAAAGTGACTCGGTAAGAAGAACGTGTGGTGAAATAGACAAATGAAATTATATAAACAGTTAATTTACTGTCATAACATATAAAAAGCTCGCGCCTGTGAGATATCAACAAAACATTAGTAAAATAGTTCACACCAAAGCCTTCACGGAGTATTCACCGGACAACCGCTTCCAAGTTGCGCGAACCTACTTCACTGCGCACGTACTATAAACGCAGCCCAGCTGTTGAAACCCATTTCCCCGAAAAGTCGGGGGAAAATTAGTGAAACGTTTGAACTCCGATTTCGCGCGTTTTTTTTCATCGCGTTATTTTTCAACTTTATAAGTTGAATTTGCATTTTTGACGATTTGTTTCGGTAAGTCCATACCGAAAGGTATCAGAATCTGCAAAGTGGTGTTTTACGTTGCATGTGACCTTTAATATGGTAACAATTAATTTATGTAGCTTAGGTATTTTATGAAATATATTATATTTAATGATAACTAAGTGTAACTTTCCACCACCAAAAAAGGTTCCCTTGGTGAGATAGGATGATTATAAGGAATGACGGAGACAAGCAGAATACTGTTAGTTATGTGGAATAAAGAATTATAGTATTTTATAGCGTGATTTCCGGTTTTATGACGTCACTTCCGGTTACATGTGGTTAGATAGATAACTTGAAATTCGCATAATCATTCCCTCACCATGAATGAAGAGTGTATATAAATTATAAGAAGAAAGATCTTGATTCATCACCTGGGAAAGAAAGTGTTAGTACTGGAGTCCTTCACCAGATCAGTGATGTTCTACAACTGTCTCACCTCATAATCCTAACAGATTCCAGCATAAGTTGCTCCATGATGAACTTGTGGAGATTCCAGTACACCCCCCAATACAAGCCGATAGAGAGGAAGCTAGTGCTCTGATTTCGTGCGATGAAAAGCGTACATTAACGTAATCCTGGTTGCATCCTTGATAGGCAATCGATATCGTCTTGCGAAGCCATGCAGATAAAGTGTTTTTAGATAGTTCCGTCGTGATGTGTTGTTTACAAGGAAGAAACAGACGACGGCGCTTATGACGAAAGGAGTCCGTACGATTTGTGTACCAACAGAGTGCCCTGATTGGACACAATAAATGAGATCTATCTGACCGAGAGGAGTGAGGCAAGATACGCTGGAATAGTGCTCTGCAAAACGAAGAGAGGAGAAGTCGATGGCATGTATCTCCGAGACGCGGGCAGCCATGGCAAAAGCTAGTAAGAAGGCATTCTTGAGTGTCATATACATGATAGGCACCGAAGCTAAAGGTTCAAAGGGTGCTTTAAGTAGGGCTTGCAACACGAGGCATAGATCCCACTTAGGGAAGATCGATGGAAGTCATTGAGTTGGAAGGAATGGATCAAACGATGCAAGGAGATCTCTGAGCCGACTTGTAGTCCTTGGAGATTGCAAACTGAAGCAATAGCAGAACGATATCCCTCAATAGTACCAGCTTTGAGCTTTCTCTGTGAGTGCAAATAAAATAGGAATTCCCGCTATCATGGGAATAGTTATAGGCTGTCCCAGGAGGTGTCGCTGAGTCCTCCACTGGGTGAATCGTTTCCATCTCGCGTCGTAAAGTAAGGCTGTGGACGGGCGGATGGCCTGAGATATGGCATGTATGGCGTCAGATGTAAATCCTTGTTTGTGTAGGGAAGAGTGGATAGTCTCCACACGTGAAGGTTCAGAGCTGTGATGTTCGGGTGGAGCACTAACGACTCTGGTTGAGCCAGAAGATTGTCCCAGAGAGGTAGAACAAGAGGTTCTTCCATTAGAAGTTCCAGGAGAAGTGGAAACCACGGTCTGGCCGGCCACTCCAGCGCCACTAGGTAGAGAACACTGATGTTGTACTAGTTTGGCTAGTACATCCGGGATGACCTTGAAAGGGGGGAAAGCATAAGCTATCATGTTGTCCCATGACACTGACAGAGCGTCTACGGCCCAAGCGGACGGGTCTGGTACCAGACTGATATAAACAGGTAGTTGGGAATTCGACGCGTTGCAAACAGGTCAATGCACGGCGTTTCCCACCTCTGTTGAATCATGCGGAAAGCTTCTCTGTGAAGAGTCCACTCTGTCGGTAGAAGTTGTCCTTTCCGTGAAAGTGAATCCGCCAGTAGATTCATGTGTCTGGCTTTGATGGCGCACTTGTGGAGATCCACTAGTTGGTACAGTTTCCGCGTGAGATCCATTAGGAGGGAAGAATGAGTTCCCCCCCTGCTTGTTGATATAAGCCACAACAGTGGAGTTGTCCGTGGCTATCATGACAGACTTGTGATATAGATGATGCCACCACAGGTTCCATGCGCAGAGAACTGCCAGGAATTCCAGGACGTTGATGTGATAAGTGGATTCCAATGGTGTCCAAATCCCTTGAGCCCATGTGGGCACCCCACCCCGTTGCCGATGCATCCGTGTAAATTGTCAAATCCGGTTCTGGTATGGGAAAAGGAGTGCCGTGGAGGACATTGTGTTCCTGCGTCCACCATACAAGTTCGCGTCTGACGACAAGAGGAGGAACCACATCCAGATCCAGATCTATTGATCTGCACTGATTTATCCAACACTGAGTGTGATGAAGATGTAAGCGGCCTCGAGACGTAAAATCCTGCATGGACATGAGGGATCTGACTAATGACATCCAACTTCGGAGAGACACTAGTGGAGTGTCGATGAGGAAGAATATACGATTCCTGACTGTGCTCCAACGATCGCGATTGGGAAATATATGGCATGTCCTGGCATCCAGTATGGCCCCTAGGAATTTGATGCGTGGAGCAGAAACAAGTCCGGATGTATGAGATGTGTGAACACATGGATGATAAAGTTGGTGTGATGGATGAGAATCCAAGTACGAATGTGGCGGGCCAGAAAGTCATCCAGGTATCCGTGAATGGTAATGTGTCTGAGATGAAGAAAATTGAGGACAGGATTCATTACAACAGTAAAGAACCATTGGGCTATGGAGATCCCGAAAGGTAGCACTTGAAACTGAAAACGTCGACCGTTGATGGCGAAACTTAGATATTTCTGGGATTGTGGATGGATCGGGATATGTAGGTAGGCATCTTTCAGATCCAGACTCGTGAATTTTGTGTCTGGACGAATAAGTTTGTGGACATTCCGGAGTGACCCCATTGTAAACTTCGGCGGCCGGCAGAGGAACTGTTTGTTTAAGATCTTTAAGTCTATGATCATTCTCATCTCCGGTGTATCCATCTTGGGCACTAGAACAACCGGGAAGTAAAATCCTGGAGTGCAGTCGTGAGGGAATAGCTCGACAATCGCCTGTTTGAGAAGTAATTGCTGAATAGCCGTGGATGCCGCTGATAGGCGTGGGCCTGTAAGGAAAAAACGACGTCCTATTGGATGAACTGTTAAAGGTGGGAGACGATTGAATTGGAGGTAGTAACCCGTCTGAATTACCGATAATATCCATGTATTGTCTGTGAGTTGAGTCCAGTTTAGGTAATACTGAGAGAGACGGACCCCTACTGGGGATGTTAGCACTGGTTGTTGAAAGTCCATAATCAATCTCAAGTCCGTGGGCGTTTCCAAGTCGAAAGGAACTGAGGGTTGTGGTGCGTGAATGGACAAGTCATCGTTTACTCGAAAGGAACGAAGACCCCTTGTCCGAGATGGTGGCAAAGCCTGCTGGTTCGTAGGTCTTGGTGGTTCAGACTGAGAATGGGCTCTATCAAAGGCTGATCGTTGCTAACGCTGTGGAGGGGGAGGGCGGGAGACAGACGAGCCTCTTCTTCCAGGTGTGAGTGAACGAGATGGTCGAGCTTGGGCTAAGAGAGCAGAAGCCAGCTGTTGATTAAGACTTCGTGAGACTTGAGCATCCTGAGAGGAGATAGCTTGAGCACACTTGCCATTAAAGAGGGATGAGGCTTCAACAGGCTGTTGATACAACTCATGTTTGGCCGAATCAGGGATGTTCTTAACACCATAGAGCATATTTGAGCGTTCCAAGGTAGTTAACCGACCCATAATAT